GCATGCGGGGCATGCGGGGCATGCGGGGCATGCGGGGCATGCGGGGCACGGACACACTCAGCTGAAGCACAGTCCAGGAGCGCGTGGTCCAGGTGAGTCAAGGCTTCCTTCACCACAGACACCAACTCACCATCATCCGGATCGGAGTGCAGCGCCTCGGATGTAGGGGGCTCAGTGTGGGGACAGCCACACGGAGGTCGGAGCAACGAAGCCGTTCGAGACTCGAAGCTACTAGGAGCAACGGGCATCGCTAGGAGCAAGGACGCTACTAGGGGGCTCCTGGCCTTACCACTAGGAGCAAGAAGCTACTAGTAACAAAGGGCATCGCTACTGGGACGCTACTACGAGGCCGTTCTTGGACTCGTTGCGTCAGGGCACTGACAACCGGGGAAGCAGGTGCGTATGGAAGCGCTTCGCACACCATTCGGAGGCTGAAGAGTTGCGCAGCCCATCCACCAGCAAAAACAGGGCTGCCGGCTTGTCAGCAAAAGGCAAAGGCCTCACACGAGCAACCAAAACTGGACTCATGAGTTCCGAAACGTTGGCACCAAAAGGTGCGGAAAAAGCCTTTTTTGCCCAAACATCCAAAGGCAGAATGAGGGAAGCACAAGAAGACTCACAAAACAATGATGTGATTCAGTGGAATGCTTCGCCCGATGTCTTCCAGGGCACTGCTTCAACAAGGATCCCGTGCGCGCCAGCTCCGGCAGGATCACGGCCAGGTCATCTTTGCGGCTGCTCGGCGTGGGCAAACACACGGATCCATGCGACATCTTCATGGAGTGATCCTGGCAAGGACAACCATCGCTAGTAGGGTGGAGGCCATCGCCAGTAGGGTGGAGGCCATCGCTACATGTCCACTCGGAATCGCGGTGCGAAGACGTCCGTCCCCATGCGATTCCGGGTCAATTCAGGCTAATGAATTTAATTCTAATTACTAAGTCTTTTTTTACTAGCTTCTTGTTACTACTAGTAAGGCACTTGTTACTACTAGCGTGGCACTTGTTACTACTAGCTTCTTGTTACTACTAGTAAGGCACTTGTTACTAGAAGCGATGCACTTGTTCCTAGTAGCTTATTGTAGGCCGCTTTCACGGGCTTTGGCTACTCTTTTCCTGCCTTGTATCCCTGTGCCACTGCATGACAGGAAGCTTTGGAGTGAACAGCAGCTTTGAGTAAAGCATGTTTCAAACAGGCCTTGGTATGGACCACAACCGCCATGTTCCATTTAACAATGTCTTGTCATGTCCGCCAGGCATGTGGCTTCTGTCAAGGCATGTGGCGGTCCTCTGCCTGGTGTGGAAAGCCTGTTTGAAGCCACCGACTTTTGGCCGGGACATAGGCAACGTCACTCGAGCGATTGCGGTAGTATCTGCCTGCGGGCGAAAACAGGGTGGACATGAGGGAAGAGAAGAACGCGAGACATGGTGGGCTATGAAAGCATTCGGAAGAGGTGCCGCTTTCCGCGTTGAAGAACAGAAAGGGAACCTCAGAAGCAGGGAACATGTGCCCTACTGTCCTAATTACCCACGTTTCCTCTGCCCTGCTGCCATTGCAAGTGGCCCTCGAGACGATGCCTCAGGCCGAGACATGCTTTCCCTCCTGGTTTTGCCTCTCGTGCCTGATCCATGTCAGACCAAATCAAAGCCAGAAACTGCTAGAAGGGTGCATGCTTTCGGTTGTGTGTTAAAATGTTCAGCGCTCGCAAGCTGGGTTCGTCCACTAGAACCCTCCAACACAGCTCAAATCCAGGTAAGGTGCATGTACCAAACTCCTGGCAGCTTTGGAACGGGCGTCTGGAGCTGCGCCAAAGCCCAGCTGGGCCCAATTGGTGAGAAATTCTCGGTGTAATCTCGCCTTAGCTTGGAGGCCGACTCTGCAACCCCCAAAAAGCACATGATCCCGCCTTAATGTTTCAATATGTTTCAATAATATGTTTGGGGGTTCGCTAGCTTTAAGCTGAGCTGTTTTAGGGTCCAAGTGCTGGATCCAAGTGTCCTCCGATTGTTGACCTGAAACCACTCGGCCGTGGTCTCGCAATGATCCTTCTTGGTTCTCGGTGCTGCTTGGACCTCGGGGAGCAGATTCTCCGCACTTTCTTGCACGTCTTCACCTGCAAGCTCCTGCCGCAGATTCTCACATGAGTCAGAACACACATACAACACATGAAAACCAGCCTTTCATGTGTTCCAACTCTATCTGCTGCTGTGTTTAAGTGGTGTGGCACTAATAAGTGTCGCCCTGTACACTGTATGTGGTTTTGGTGCATTTGCACACTACACCGGGGTCACATGAAAAGGTATCCTTGCCGTTCTCATTATCACTATGGTAGCCTGGCCAAGCAATCTCTTTTCCGTGTCTTATTACTTCTGGTTGTGCTCACCTGGAGGGACCACTGCTTGTTTTCCAGCTGGTAGCACTTGCGCCAAACCTGCACCACGGATGCAAGCAACTCAAAAGTTGGCGTCGCGCCCCATCCAAGTGTCACATGCCTCTTGAAGGTTGAAATTCTTCTCTGCGCATTTGAAGGCTACACGCTTCAAGTCACCTCGGATCTTGAACATGCTTCACGCCCCTGGAGGTCTGCGAAATCGGAAAGACAAGCCGAGCCAAGCCACCGAGCCAAAGTTGGAGGATAAGAAAAGGGAGAAGATAGACAAGGGCACCACAAAGGCCCCAAGGGCCGCTGCAATCAGGAGCGACGATGTTTTTGTTCCTAGTAGCGATGGCCTCCGACCTAGTAGCTTCTTGTTCCTAGTGTACGGCCAGGAGCCCCTAGTGTAGCGTCCTTGCTCCTAGTAGTAAGGCCAGGAGACCCTAGCAGCTTCTTGTTCCTAGTGGCGATGCCATGACCTTGTTTTCTTTCTCTTTTTGCTTTCGTCGTTTTCCGAGTCAACCAAGTCGCAGCCATCCTTCCGTGCCTCTTCTGGCGTGGATCGCCGAGGGCCAAGCACTCGCACCTCCTACCGTTGACGGTGCAGACTGTGATACGTAGCTATTGGCCATGTCCTTCATTCCACAAAGGGGAGAGTGGCAGTTAAAGGGTCCAAAAAGGAAACAAAAAAGAATAAATACACAAGAACGAAGCTAAAGTGACGTCTGCTGTAGCTACTCAGTCTGACTTCATCCAACCCTCCACACTTCGATCGGGTTCCTGTATTAGACACCATCAAAGCATCGTATGCTGAAAGAAGGAAAGCCTCACTCACACCGCCCGTTGCCTTGAGTGGATGCGGCTGTGGTTGGGTATAGATCTCAGTTGAGCCAAGAGCTTCTGAAAGACTCTGTTCATCCATAAAACTGTTGCATTCTAGCAAAGGCACCTACGAGGTGCGAATAAATGCAAAGCAAGGGGGAAACAAACAGTTTCTTCAAACAACACCTGTTTCCTTTGGAAAAATGTGTTCCTTTTCTTTGTCAATGTTCTTTCCCCTGTTCTTCAAATGTTTGGACTTTTCTGTTTCTTTTTCCTAGTCTTTGATCTCAGATATCATGAAGTTTCGAAGCAACTTAATGCCGTGAAGCGGCAGAAAGGCATGCACGATGGCTGGGGCCAATCCTCAAAATCAGGTGTGTGCCAAGTACTGCAGTTCTCCCCCGTTCAAAGACTGCCCCGATCCCCCTAGCTAGCTGATTCGCCTAGCGGAAACTGCCAGCCACCCAGCCCCAACCAGGGGAATCAGCCAGCCAGGCATGTGCCAAGAACCTGGCTCAACCCAGCCTGAGGGTCTCACCAAAAATTCATTCCAAAGAAAAAGACTATCATGTGAGCCACTTTGCGGCTTCGCAGTGCTGATGGCCTGCGACTCTACGATACACTTCCCACAGGAGTCTTCACCTGAGATCTAACGTGCCACTCACCCAAACCGACAAGAACCCCTGAAGCAAAATCCGGCTCAACGAGCCAAACATCAAACCATCTACCTCTGAAGACCGGCCACTGGCTGACCTTTGGGATACCTTCGCAGCATTTCCGCCCGGTGAAGTCGGCCGGTGCCGGTGCCGAGCCGCGAATCCGCCACCACGGTGAAGTCGGGCGGAGGCACCCCAATCACCGTCCACAGCAGGCCGGCAAAGTGCCGCGCGTGCGCCTCCTTCTCTTCGGCCTCGTGGTCTGGTCCGTGCCGAAGGGAAGGAGTCGGAAGGAGGAGCCGTCTCGGTCGGAGGCGGAAGGCGTCTTGGAGTGAGGAAACTGCCGCTTTCCCCCGGTGCCTCCCGCACTTCTTTCTCCTTTGCGCCAGGTGGATCAGGATTTTTGAACATGCCCACCAGCTGGGAAGCACCTGGCTGACGGTTGGATCATGTTGGATCCATGATCCCAGCTAGCTAGCATGCCCGCTTGCTGGCTTGACACCTTGCGAAAGAAGAAGTCTATGACGCTGAAACCGGTTCGACTTGCAAAGACACTGAAAAGATCCAAAAACATCGATTTGAGAGACACACGATTCTCCACTCCTCCCCTCCCTTAGATAAGAAAGAAATGGGCACCTACTTCACTAACCTCCGCTAGTTACCTACAAGTACGCTCCTAGGGAGGCAGGATAGCTCGTTCACCAGCCCATCTCTGTCGCCTTTCGCACCCAGCACTTGTTTCGATGTGTAGGTGCGCCATGCTCCTCCTCCCTCGCGGGTCCTGGGGAACGAAAGCGAAGAAACACCGCCTTAGCGGGCCTTAGCCTTCTGAAGCGTGCAGAAACTGAGGTGGCAGCGACATGGGCCGCGGAGGGGGATGTCTAGAACAGCTATCTAACTAATCATTTTGAGCTTCACTGCGAGGGGAGGCACGCGCTGAGGTAAGAATTCATCCACAAACAAACCCCAACAACTTCATTTCGTGAGAAACAAATCACAAGGTGATCAAGATGCCGGCAAAGATCACGACCAAAGGTCAGCGAGTTGAATGCACTTTTTGCGGCATTGGCGGCTTGGAACCCAAGGACAAAAAGTACTAGGCATAACTGTATAATTGTGAAGGAGAGAACCAAAAAGCTGGCCACAGCAAACTTTGCAACAAATCCTTGTAAACCAAGCACAGCACTTGGGAAATGGCCATCTATCCTGTGCATCCACAGGACAGCTCCGTGCAAGAATTTTGAACGATTAATGTCATGCAAAGGCAGGTGCGTTCTCTTTACAGCTCATATCAGCTTACATCCCATCCCGTTGTCGTCGCAAAGGCGGTTGATCCCACTCATTGCCTATCTGCTGTTTTTGAGGCCAAGTCAGGAAGTCGCTCGAACCTGCCTTTTCACAACACTCAAGAATCAACTGGAATGGATGGCTTTGCTGCTTTGCTTGGCTTGCACCACTGCTTGCACTCAAACATTATGTGGAACCCCTTAGTGATCCAAAGCCATCATGTAATGTACCACTCTGGAAGCACATGGAATCTACCCCAGCAAGGTTGCCTCGTTCAATGCATGGTTACCTATGGTGCTTTAGAAGCTGCTCTGATGATGTAAAGCCTTGCCGGGCAAACACGGGCACAGCTCCCAGCTGCTTGTGCTACCGACTGCGCTCTTGCACACCCGTCGCTACAAGTGCCGTTTGCGAAGCGAGCTCATCCTGCAAAAGCCCAATCAGAAAGGAAATATGTTGGAAAAGAACCGGAAGAAGATTGTCTCGCCACCGCCCTTAGGTTGGAGGCCATCGCTAGTAGGATCCTCTCACGGAATCTGCCAGAATCCATTTTGCGCATCGACACCTCCTGTCCTTCTCATAGGGCAGCTGCACTTGCAGTGTACCTGATCTTAGCCTGCCGTCTTCCAATGCAGCAACCTAGATCGCGAGACAGGACTCTCAGCTTCCGAAGTGCAGAAATGCTACGCAAATGGTAGTATCAGTGCGCATCACCATGTCAAGTTGAGCCAACTCACTACATCCAAGTCGACTCTGCTCTCTTCTCAGCTCTTTCTCTCCCTCTCTCATGCATCTCATGGGTGCATACCTGATATGTGTCACACATATGCGCGTTAGTAAATGCACGCATAGACATATCTACATATATATATATATATGATCCAGGGACCTTTTGGGATCATTTCGTTGGCCTTTGTGGAGGCCATCGCTAGTAGGTTGGAGATCATCGCTCTTAAGTTGGAGGCCATTGCTACTAGAGTGGAGAACACCACCTGAGTTTGTCCAAGGAACTTGGCTGGAAAGCTTTGTCTGCACCTGCTGTGTGAGCCGCTTGTGCTCAAAGAAGTCGCTGGACAAACCAGTCAATGCCTGGCAGTTGAGGTGGGAAGATGATATCTGGATGCCACCCAAAAGCTTCTCTCAACTCTTGTCTTTTTTAATATGAGACTTCCAAATTTTTGTCATTGAAGTTACTTTGAAGTCCTAACAATTCAGAAAAGAGGACTCTTGTCCATGTCAGTGCTCGCCACTGTGGGAAGTCAGGTCAAATGCCTCGTGGAGCTTCGCGATGTCATCCTGCACCGCAAGGGCCTCGGACGCTGTCACCCCCAAAAACCCAACTTCTAAAGGCCAAGGACCACCGTGAGCAACCAGTACCTGTTGGCACTACAGAAATTAGTCTTTGGCATGTCGCTGGTGTTGTTTCAAATTTAGCTTTCTTTCGGTGGGCTCCACATAATCCTGGCCCATCAGCACATTGCAATGTTGGCAGAAACCAGAGCTTCGAACCGTAGCATTCCCATCTCGACCACCTGCTTCAACCTGGTCTCGAAGTCTTTGTGTCAGCAGCTCCACCTGGTGGATATTTGAGCATCAATACAGCTGTCCGGAAATTGTGAAATATATATATATATACATAGAGATGCGTATCTGTTTAATAAATGCCCGGGCAGGTAGGCCGCCAGTAGAGGTAGGAAGTAGCTAGGTAGATAGCTAGCAGTAGCTAGGTAGCTAGTAGCTTACCTAAGCTACAAGTATGGATGCAGGATAGCTCACGCTTCTTCAGCGAAGCTGAGGGAAACTTAACTGGTGATGTCCGGACATGTCTATTTGCAAGTTTGCAAGGCTCTCGCGCAAGTTGCCTCATCCAACTTGTGCTGCACGCTTTCTTGCACGGCCTCAGTTTCAAGTTCTGGCAGATTGCCCAGCCGACACATACAAGGAGTCACAAAGAGCCGTACCAATCCTCCCTGCCCAAGCAAAGCATTAAGAAATACTTGATGAGTAACAAGTGCATCGCTACTAGTAACAAGGATGCTTCAGGTGCCACGCTTGAGCCTGTTTCTTCGCGGCCACCATCTCAGCCCCAGTAGATTGAAGCTGCCCCTGAAAACAGATGCATACAAATGCATGACGAAGTATCAATATTTACATAAGTGCCGGAGGATGCCAAAGGGCTAAGATTTGCAGGAAATGAATTACATACATACATATATATATATGTGTGTGTGTGTTTACATGTATATAGGTATGTATGCATAAACGATTTCACGGTGATCGGGAAAGCGGATGAAATGGGGGTTGGATTCAGTTTGTTGCTATGTTGAGGCCACTTTAGGTGCATCTACCAAAGCAAGAATGCATCAAAATTCAGAAGGCATGTGGAGCAACATCTAAACCACAAGGTTAGATTGAATCATGTCAAATGATTTTGGAGCTTCAGGACATGAAGGAGCACAAGGAAGCAACTGTGCCTGCAGCTGCACAAGGTTCTGCTGAAGTTGCTGATGCGTTGAGCTATAGGACTTCTTCAAGGCCTCCCAGCTTGCCCAGAAAAACCATGCTTCAAGAAAACTGCAACTCTCCTCTCGATAAACTCTTGATAAATACATGAATTGCATCATGTTACATGTTCTGTTTTCAAACGTCCTGCCTCCAGCTCTGCTGTTTTCATGGAGAGCTGTCGTCCCAATGCATGGATTTCGCTAAGCAGCTCCTCGACAGTCCAAACATGCGGCGCAGGATCGTGAATCTACCTTACGCACTTCAGACGTTGGCAACCCTTTGCTGCAGCAAGGTCTTAGGTCCAGATGTTTTTGCCCCTGGCGTCCTCTCTCTGTTCCGTTTGGAGTTTTCTCCACACTGCCAGTTCTTCAAAGAAGGCTCCAAACGTGAAGCGTGATATGGTATGATGCAAGACTTGAAGACACCATGAGACTTGGTGTTATGATTTGAAGACCCCATGAGACCCCGGCATACACACTCTTTTTACCAAGTACATACATACATGAAGGTCAACTGGCGGGAAGGAAGACAAGCTCCGAAAGACCAAACTGCCTATGGCAAGCAAAGGCGGAGAAGTCACTGTCCAACATTGTCAAAACATGTGTATCCTCTTCATAGTGTTTCACAAATATGATGGAAATGAAAAGGCAAATATTCAAAAACATATATATACACATATTATACAGTAAATATATATTATAAAGAAATTGCCCCATTATGTCCACTCTATTCTATCCAATTCATTACAAAAAGTAAGTTTAAGATAGAACATATATATATATTACAGAAATACTTGCATGGGAGTCCAATGATACCCCATTGCACTATACGCACATGTATCACCCTCAGCTTTTGACCGCCCTCTGGTGCCCATATCCTTATTGGCCGCCCTTTGTGGAACCCATCTCTCCAACGATTCCGACCTTCCAAAGGTTTCCAGGACTGTTGGGTTTGAGTCCTGGTCGGTGGCAGCCTTCTGCTTCACCAATGAGGTGATCTCAGAGAAGGCGCTCCTAAGGACCAACCCAGTTGAAGAAAGAGCTCACTGTGTCGTTTCGCTCCTCTTCCCCTAGAGCTCACTGTGTAGCCACCAGTGTGCCACTATGTGCCGGTCAGTTTCTTTACGAGGTACATTTGAGCTCACACATGTCCGGTCATCCTTTCACCTTCGCCTTTCAGAGCTACCGACGAACCTAGCCGACCTGCGGCCATGGAACGTCAGCTTTTCACGCAAATCTGTGAGCTGCGACTGCATCTGTTGCTGAACTGAGATGCTATGCCTCTTGTACCTGGTCGGGTAGGGCACAACTGCATGGCATCAAACCAACAGGACCAAACAGTGGAACAAGATCAAAGGTAGTAGAGCAACATGCAATATGAAAAGCAAGTACTTGAAATTGAAACTGATCTCAACTTCTCCACCACAAGACTCACTCTTGCACGTATGAGGGGGACTCCCCATCACCATGCTTACTTAGCACATGGGTAAGAAGAAGCTACTAATAACGAGGACGCTATTAGGTGGAGGCCATCGCTATTAGGTTGGAGGTCATCGCCGATCATTGCTATTGGGTTGGAGGCCATCGCTATGTTCAACAAAAAGAAGCTATATTAGAAACAATAAGCTAATGATGTCTTGTTTCCAATAGCTTCTTTCTCACTACTAGTAAGGCACTTGTTGCTAGTAGCGATGCACTTGTTACTAGGAACCACTTACTTGGCACATGCATGCACATGCTCCGCTTTTTGAGGCGCAGGCTCCGTGAGGTCCGCACTATTGGAGGTGATCCCGTCACGGATGACACTCATCTCAGCCATCATTGCTTGCCTCGTGTGGAAGGCTAGGCCCCACAAAGAAAAGCGCCACCTTCAAACATTCCTTCGCCAAATAAGGGGAAAGGCAAATGTGCAAGGCCCTCTTTTAGTGGCGGCGCATGAGAAACTGTTCTGGAGTAGTTGGCCTGTTGCAGTGATAGCCAAATGTCGGCCTGGAACCCGTAAGCGCCGTAAGCCTCTACCCCTTCCGAGCTCAAGCTTTGGAGCGAGCATGCTGCCATGACACAGACTGCTGTTTGATCGGGCTTTCATTTCCTGACAATCCCAAATCATTGAACAAAGACATGAGGAAACCAGAGAAACCAAGCTTCCCTTTCAAAAGTTATTGACAAGCTTCGCTCAGCCATTGGGAAAAGGCATTCATGGTGGCATCCACATCACCATACTCTTGGTGGCCTTGCTTCAAATGATCCAGCTCTAGGCTCTAAGACCGGCACCATGCGTAGGAACCCGCTCTGAGTTCAACATCTCTGATCATTTCCAGTCTGAGACTGAGGCTGTATCCATTTACGCCAACCTGCATGGGAGGACGCTGCACCTTTCAAAGAAACTACCCCAGCCTTGAGCTGAATTGCTGCGGATCATGTGCCCCAAATCGTTCTTTCTGAGATGTTCGTTCCTTCCTTTCCAAGTGCATCGCTACTAGTAACAAGGGCATTACTACTAGTAACAAGAAGCTACTAGTAAAAAATAGTTTATCTACTCTTTTCCGTTTCCTCTTTCCCTCTTTTTTGTACTTGCCATGCTCCAGACGCTCCTGTGGGCCCTTCCAGGCTACAAAGGCACAATCCAATAATAAAGACACAAGACACCCAAAGCTTCTCCACCTGGATGCCCATGTCCATCAAATGCGTCCACCAAGCCTCCCACAATGAACAGCAAAGCATTCTGCTAGTTGCTTTGGACAACGTCAACTCTCTGCTGGCCCTTTCCGATGCACAAAGCTCATGCAAGGTTCTTTTGTTGTCCCTCAGCTCATGCAGCTCTCTGGCTGCAAAAAGGTCATGCAAAAAGCCTTTCAGGGCACGGCACAAGCAGCATGTACAAGCACCACTTGCCTGCAGCAAGTCACCTTGCAACACTTATTGGCCACGTTGGCGCCGCATTCGCGGATCCAACGTGGACCAGGGTTGGTTCGGTCGATTCCGGTCTCCATTTCCCTACCAATCTCCTGGCCCTGTACCGAGAGATCAGCTACGCACGACAGTTCTGTCCACTCACTTGGCAGCCTGCAGGGCCACGGTAACCGGTGAGGCGTAGCGTAGGGCGTAGCGTAGGGCGTAGCGCAGGGCGTAGCGCAGGGTAGCGCGCTACGCGCAGGTATGAAAGCAACACCCTGCACCGCACCTGTAGGCCTTGCAACCAACGGAGTTCACCTGAACACCAAGGAGCCACCGAGCCATGGTGTGCACCGATGATTCCAAGGCCCCCGACCGATCTGCGGGGCTGAGGCAGATCTACCCTGTCGCAAGACAGAAGACTCAAACAAATTCCGACCTTTGTTTGGCCCGCCCTGGCCTCCTACTAAATTACATAAGGAATAGGGCCCACGCTCCTAGGTAGGACACAGGAGAGCTCACGCTTCTATTCACTTGGTCTCTAGATGTTTAGGAAGAAAATACTTTTTCTCAAACAAACATATTCGACCCTGTTATGATCAGTGGATCATGAACTCAAAGAGCCTTTGCACTTCCTCAAATGGAAGTCCATGGAGGGAACACGAGAGATAGGAGGGCAAGCAAGAATATTCGAACAAAGGCCAGTGGTTGCCAACAGGCCAAGGAGTACCGGAGTGAACCAAAGATTTTGGGCAAAGGGGGAGCGGCTGAGAGCTACATGGATCCTCAATAAGTTACATGCTTTGGTTCACTACCCTTTGAGAATCTTTCTGGGAGCCTGAAGTCCTGAAAATGTCTGAACATGCTCTACAGGTCCAACCACCCCCTGTGGTGGTTCTTACAGCCGCAAATTCGGCAGAGCCTTCCGCAAGTTCGGCATGGACTGTACCTTCGGCAGCCTGTTGACCTGATTGTCATCTGCGGAATGACATTCACAATGATTCCGCTTCAAATTCTGCAACCTTACTAGGAACAAGGGCATCGCTACTAGGAGCAAGGACGCTACTAGGGGCTCCTGGCCGTACTACTAGGAGCAAGGACGCTACTAGGAGCAAGAAGCTATCAGAGTGACTGACTGCTAAAAATCTTCAAATGCTTGTGATGAAATGCTTTGCTTCAAGCGACTGGTGCAGAAAGACGCTTCACATCAGCAGGTCGTGGACCGTTCCGATATGTCGGGGGGTAGCATTTGTAGCCATTAGCTGCGAAGATGCCTCGCATAGCCCATCCGAAGCATCCAGCCAAGTTGAAGTCTAGGAAGAATGATAGCGACATCGAACGCAACCAATGTGTCAAGGACGCTACTAGGGGCTCCTGGCCTTACTACCAGGAGCAAGGACGCTACCAGGGGCTCCTGGCCATACTAGGAGTAACAAGAAGCTATTACAAACAATAAGTAAACTGGCCCATCTCTGGAGGACAGCACTGGACCGACTCACCTTTTGCAATGAAATGAAATGTGTTTTGTGCCTCCAACCTCCTAGCGATGGCCTCCAACCTAATACCATAAGGACAAACCAACAAGAATGATTTTGCAAGAAGACCCTGAAGTTCCTTCCTCCCACGGCCTAATGGTTCTAATGCAGGCAGGATTCCAACATTGGGTTTCGCTGTAGACTTGCTCTTGCCAAGCACATACTCCTCAGAGCAGCATGTGAAGAATTGAAATAGATGTTCATAAATGCAAATACTGACCCTAAATCCTAGGAACCAAAATCAGGTAGGTTAGAGGCCATCGCTAGTAGGGTGGCCATTGGCTCAGGTTTCTTTAAGGAAGCTGCCCCCCAGCCTAAGCCCTTCTGTGTCGCCTAGTTGCCTGGTAACAGCCTCCGGTCCGCTACTCCTTCTCCTTTCATGGCCTATCCCGGCCGACCCCACAAAGAGACAACATGCCTTCACATACCTATCAAAGAACGTTGAGATTGAAATTGCCAAGAACATTTAGCAAAGGAGTGCTTGTCATGTGTCTTCATGATTACATTTATGTATATATATATATATGTATGTATGTATGTATGTATGTTTTTTCCTTTGGGGCGTCTATTTGAGGTGAAGACGGGGAGAAGTAGGCGGGGTAGCAGTGGCGGTTGGGAGTTCCATGGGCCTGCCATGCGACTGTTGTAGTTATCTTGTCCTCGTATGTTTTTCGTGGCTTTGGTTCCAGCTCTTGAAGTAACCGCAGGCGACGGTAAGTTTGCCATTACGCGTTGCTGTGATGATGGGAAGTTGCGTGGCATTGCCATGGCTATGACGGCTATGATTGCTATAGTTGTCTTCTCCTTCTATGTTTTCCGTCACTTCTTGTGTCCGTGCTCTTAAATCATCGCAAATGACGGCGATCAGCTCACTGGCGCGCCGGCCCCACGGGCCCCACGGGCCTCTTTTAATGGACCCAGAGAGGACCACGGGCCCGCATGCACGGCATGCTGCTGTGCAGCACAAGCTTGCTCGATCAATGTCTTTGTCGTCTTGTTTCCTTTTCCGGAGGCATCTCCATCTGAGGCAGTGGCTGGGTCCATGAGAATGGTGGCATTGCGCCCACCGCTTACAGAGTGATTGCTGATCCTCCTCAAATGGGCAAGAAACGCGATAAACTGCCTAGACTGCTGACTACTGCCTTACAAGGCACCCACATAAACCTTGCTTCATCATTCCGCAGCAGGTAGACTCTAGTTCAAAAAAAGGGCAACACACAAAAAGCGGAAAGTTGTAAGACCCACTGCATCAATTCATGAGTCAAAACAGCTTGAAATGAGGATCTTACTTACACCCGAAAGAACCTGCAACCCTCTCACTGCCAGCCAAGCTCCGAAGGTCGTAGGACATGTTCCGGCACAACAGGCTCACCCAACCCCAAGTTACAGTGGAAACAGCTTCGGAGGCAGCTGTGGTTGCAAAGACAAACCTCACACATCCAGGATAACTTCATGCCGCAAGATGGAAAAATGTGTTTGAGCCATTGTTATTTTAAAAAGCGTATGACTAGAGTCAGAGTCCGAATCATACTCTGGATTTTTGTCGGGACCCTGATCCTGACCAGGTCAGGATGAAACGCCTGGCCTGAGCACGCATCGCAAGCATCAATGTAGAGGCGGGGTTTAGATCGAGATGTGTTCAAACCATCTCCCAAAACTGGATTGAAGTGACCATCAATGAAAGCTTGCTGTGAATAGTAGTGGTTATCATGGATCATTCCCCATATTCCCACCCAAGCACCAGGTGCCCCAAAAAGGAGCCAATCGGAGCCGCTCCGACTCGCTCCCTCGCTCTCTCGCGAGCTTCGACGCGGTCGAGACCGCGCCTCGTGAGGCGCCATCGTTGACCCATACCGATACCCACATGGCATTTCATGGTATATCTACTTAGCGTCCTTGCTACTAGTAGTAATGGCCTCCAACCTAATAGCGATGGCCTCCACCTAGTAGCGTCCTTGCTACTATGGGTCAAAAACAATTCGGTTTGAGACTTTTTTTGATTTTTGGAACTGAAGATTTGCGTTCCAGGTGCAGACGACATGTGGGTCGTTTGACCATTCGACAACAAATAGTCATGGCGCTAAAGGTTCTTTCGAAGAGCCAAAGGGCAACAGGCGAAGCATGTTCTACAAAAAGCATCAAGAGAGAACGAAAACATGAATGTGTTTGGATATTCGACCGTCCTGTTTTCCCGTTTTCCGGTTTTCCGGTTTGGCAGAAAACAGGGCACTAGTCTCAGGCTCCGAAGTTGAAACCCAACAAGTGGGAACAAGACCTCATTGGCAACTGCAAGTTAGATGTTAGATATCAGATATCTAAGGTGATGTGCTCAACAAGTATCTTTTCCTGAACAATCTGCAAACTCGAAATGTGTTTCAAAGTGAACCGCGTTAAGACTTCCCACCACCAGGCTGTTCGGGCGAGAGAAAATCATGCTCCAGCTCTACCAGGTACCCATCTGACTGGTGCTGACTGGGTTGGGAATGGATGGGAATGGAGGTTCTGACCCATTTCAGCACCATTCATTTCATCATCCCAGCACCATTCCCAACCCAGTCAGCACCAGTAAGTCATTCCCAAAATGAAAGATTGAACTTGCAGAACTCGTTTCAATTCCACCCATCCAACCCATGCTGACAAATGCTCGTCCGCACGCATGTGAGTGCGGCCATTTTCTTCCTGACTAATTGTGTAACTCATGCACTGCAGCTCTAAGAGCGCAGCGAAAAGACTGAAACATCGTGCAACTGGATAGAGGTTTTCCCCTTCGAAACTGTGTGAAACCTGGCTAAACACAGAAATGCGCCCACCTTTTGAACAAAGATGGCAGTGCTGGTGACTGGTGACATGTCATGGAGGATTCCGATGAGAGGTCCTAGCCATACTGGGCTAAGGTGATTTGAATCGTCTGGGCGTGTCTGCTGACGGTGGCCAAGACGGAAACTAACAGCTCCACTTGAGCATAAAGATCAGAGGTGGGCAACAGGCCACGATTTTCCTTGGCCTTTTCCCGAATCTGTTGGATCAAATTTTGGAAGTTGTGTGTGGTACCTGACGTTGAGTTCCTCCTAGCTGCCACCTGCGCCAGATTCGACAAACGTCGTGTCTGTGCCTTGGGCGTTTCGATCTTCGCGTTGGTTGTGGAGATGCGCGTGTATTCCTTGTCCAAAATGTCGCGACGAAGGCTGGAAGCTTCTGAGATCAGGTCGCCGGCAGCGGCCGCACTGAGGAACTTGCGCTTGCAAATGTCATCGAACATCACCAGAGAGGAGGACATCATCTTGCTAAGGTAGCCTTCAATCTCAGTGAGCAGCGGGCCCAACCTGGTTGGTGTTTTTTGAAGCGTTTAAGAACAAATCATGAAAGTCGGATCTAAAATCCATCCCAAATATCCGTGAGGTGAAAATCACCTCAAAATCTGTCAGAATTCAGAATCACCAAGCAACTCTTCCTGTCCAACCAAAGCTGTATTGGATGAGACTTCCAACATCCACTCGAGTGTGCCCAGTTCGATAGCGATGATCCGCAAGGACTGTTCCAGTGTGCTGAAGAGCAACATGGGAAACTCAATGCCACGAGGTGCAGGCTCCTTCTTCGCCATGGGTAACAAGTTGGCCACCTGATCCAAGTGCATCAGTACCCGGGTTTCTTCATTGGAAGATCCATCGGCATTCGCCGCACTGGTGGAAGCTCTTAAGCCCATGACCCGGAGCAACAAGCCCTCGGACTTTTGAAAAGCCTTTCGCAGCTGATTTTGACAGATACCTCGGCAAAGACAGCTCCGGGAAGTGATGTGAAAAGTTAATGAGTCGAGCCTCATGCTGTCACAGCAACACTGCTAAGACATTCGAGCCTCATTTCACCTGTTTTTGATTAGTTTTCTTCAATTGAAAGAGACATAAAATGAAAACATGGATCACCTACCACCTTTTCTCCAAGCACCTCTTGCACTAGAGTAGAGGAACAGGTCGATGAGCAACATGATTCCACCACCAAAGACAGCACTCTTCACACTGGCTGCCAGTGCAATCTCGGCTGATGGCTCGATCTGAGCGTTGTAGACACGAAAGACCCCATTGCCTGGAACCAGGCCTCCAATGCCGATGGCCAGAACCGGCAAGGCCGTTGAAGCATGATCTGGTGAGTGCAGGATCTGAAAAATCAGAAAAACACTGTAGCACCAGATGAAGATGCCAAAGAGAGTTGCATGAAAGACCTTGGTGGTGGTTAACCTGCAAACCTGAAACATCCTTCCAACGTGGCCACTTAGGAATCATAGGTTAGCCTTATCTTGCTTTAAACGCTTTGACAAATTCTCCACCAAAAAAAGACACAAAAACGCTGGAAACCGCCTGCAAAAAATAACGGCACACCACCATCACCTTCACCGACCAAAGGACCGTTTGGACCGCCAAGACTTGTTGCACCGCTTGCCCGATCACGGTGCCAATCACGGCGCTGTTTAAGCGCGTCATGATGAGGCCCAAGGAGAAGCCCGCCTGCCCGGTGTTCGCCACCACTACCGAGACGGTGACCACCGCGCCGAAGCTGTAGGCCACCATCGCCCGCTCAAGGCCCACCCAACCGAAGAGAAAGGCCAGGACCATGGCCAAGGTGCTGCGAAAGACGAAGAGCTTGTGGGAGGGATTGCTTCCTGAAGTTTGGAGAGATGAAAGCTGACACAACAAAAAGGGGTGGATTTAAATCGTGACTTGATGGATGTATATATATATATCATTTGCCATGATGGGAAATATCATCAAACCATTTGGATGACGTCCTATAAAGAAACAGCTTCTGCTTAGGAGGATCATCAAGGAAATCCGCCCATCAAAATCACTGCTTGGGGATGTTCCTTTCATCCCTATCTGGCAGGTTCCCAAAGAATCCTCATCCGATTGATTGACATCCACATGTACAGGTGTATTGAACGATGTTCAGAAGCCATGCCTGTTGACATATTCATAATGCGTTTTGTTTAATCCTGCCACCACTTCGGCCCAAGCATCTGGTCTGTGGCAGTTCCAGTCTTCGAAAGAGTTCCGAAAACCACCTGCAGCTGATGGCCATCATAAAGCCGACTCACCCTTCACCTTTTTCCCCACCCCAAAAGAAACATCAACCATTCAAATCCAGGGCTTGAGCTTTTTTTATTGGTGTCCAAAGCTGCCACAGCTAGCCGTTCAATGCGATCATTTGCTTCGGGGTTTGCTTCGGCTGCTGGGGAGGCTGCTGCGTTGGTCGACCGAGACGTCGACGTCGTTGGTCGACCGGCCTGCAAACCCTGCAGAGTCCCGATTCGGCGGGCGGCAGCGACTTCTCCAAGACCTTCACTCGTTCCACAGCACCTCCGGGACATGGGATCGATATGGATGATATCATGGGATCATCAACTGGAGGAAGACTGGGAGGATCATGAGGGCAGTGGAACCAGACATATTCAGCATCTCAACAGCCTAATAGCAAAAGGAACCTTATAGGAATGGCCTCCGACCTAAATGTGATGGCCTCCAACCTAATAGCATCTCTCATCTTGCACCTGATGCGATGGAGATGACCGCCAGCGTGAAGCTCAAGATGGGCCCTGTCAGGGAAAACTTGCCTACGGCCGCGGAAAATTCCCGCTCCAGGTCCTTGATGGCCTTGGTGCAAAAAGCCAAAAAAATGGATCACAGTCACATACCTGGATATGGGCCAATATCCGGCCCATAATCCCCAATGACTGGCTAAATGACCATCCCAATGTTAGGACTCTTGTGGCAGGAGGCTATCGCTAGTAGGTTGGAGGCCATCGCTAGTAGGTCAGTAGGTTGGAGGCCTTTGCGTCTAGGTTGGAGGCCAAAAATCCCCAATGACTGGCTAAACCATTGTTAGGACTCTTCTGCTTGGTTTTTCCTCCATCCATGGGAGCTGTTGGGCCAAGCTGCCCGGTCTAGATCCTCCAAGACGTCTGGGTCAACCTTAGCTTCTGGTGCAGGAAGTGCTCGAGCGGCATAAGCACAAACGTCCACCAGCGCGGGCAACTTCTCTTCGAGTTTCGTCAGCTCCTCATCCGTCAACCTGCAACTCTCAACTTCATCAGATCATCATGACCCCCTCCATCATCATATGGGATGGAGAAGGAACAATTCCAATGATTTTGGTGGGTGTTGATCCGTTTATCATGGATCAATCGCCCATCAGAACCCCAACAGGACTTCATACTCACTGATTGATTGGTGATGGTTTTCTGTGGCCAGCTCATCCACGAAAGCCATCCTACATAGCACCAATCAACTTGACAACATCAACCATACATATACAGTAGATGGAAACCAATGATCCCTACTTTGATGGATTTCGTCCACTTTGAACATCTTTTAACAATCCAATGTTACTAGTAGCTTCTTGTTCCTAGTAAGGCCAGCAGCGATGTTCGTCGCGTCCTCTCGCTGGATGTTTACCCCGCCGAGCCACGCAGCCCCCAGGCGCGACGCCAAGGTCATGTGCTGCAGCAGGGCCGCCTGCAGCTCCACGTATTGCTCCAGGCGATGACGTCGCCGCGCACGGCCCGGGAGAATGCCCAGGTCCTGGCGGCCGGTCGTGGGAGAGTTCTCACACTTCGATGGGAAATTGTTGGACCGCTGGATGATGCTATACTTTATATAAGCCTATAATAAAGATCTCGGATGAACTCTAATGAATCTTCGGGGTGGACAGCAGCCTTGGCACAGGATCCAGGCAAAAAGTTCCCCGAAAGCTTTCCAACGATCTCGGGAACAACACAGGAGATGCCATGATTCTCAAGTCTGACACTTTTCAGACATCATCAAGTCAAAATAACTGACATCACTTAGTCACTTAGCCAGCCAGGATTGTACCATGGCACATCACAACCAGCCGGGCCCTGCCTCAAACCAGGCCGCCCCACAGAGCTGCCCCAGATCATTCAGCCACAGCTGGGGTGCCTCCAAGGCCGACTCCAGAGGTACGCGGGTCTCGTGACGAGGTGCAAACGGCAGGCTCTCCAGGATGGCCGCCACGGACTGCGTGAGCTCACGGCCGAGCTTCGTGGCATTGCCCAGGGCCGTGTTGGGACAGGGCAGAAATTGCCCCACCACCGCCAACATGCAGCCGATGCAGGTCATGATGGACTGAGTCCAGGGGTCCGAAGGATTCTCCATGTAGGCATCCGAGCCCGGATTCACAAAGAGCATGAGCCAGAACGTGAGGTAGGTCAAGGCGTAGATCCTGGTGGAGGCTCCGAAGCCAAAGCCCAGAAACAGGGCCGTGAACAGCGCCAGGTCCACCAAGACAATGGCGGATCGAACGCCTCCATCGGTCATAGAGGACCAGTGCACGTTCAGGAAGCATTGCTGCATGAATTCCGAGGTGGAGTTGGTGGTGATAAAACGAGCTCCATTGCCAAGGTTGCAGAGTGGAAGCCACTCAGACCTGTAAATCACCATGTTTGCAGCTGTATCCGTGAACTCCTCCCTGGTCGCATAGGCACCTCCATGCATGAAAGTTCCGAAGGCTTGGTTGAGCATCAGCATGTTTGCCAGCGCCAGCAGTGTTCCAATCACACCCTCTAGGGCATAGCGAATTCCCATGCCCACGTTGGGCGAGAGCAAGAAGCAAAAGTTGGACATTGCCATTCCATAGCTGGCCATATATTTGCTACTTCGGTCCCCAAAGTCGTTGAAATACTGTGCCACGGGCCATACGATCACCGGCCCGGACAAGATCACCATCCACATGCCCAGGCGAGCGGACAAGAAGAGGTTGTTAAAGAATCGGCGCCGTGAACGGAAGGCGGTTTTCTTGAACTTGGAATGCTCCTCCAGCAGCCCCAAGATCCGCACCACCGACTTTTCCCAGCCGTTCTCGGCGGTGTTGGGGCGGCTATCAGAGGTCTTGGAGCCCTTCTTGGAGTCCAAGATGTCGTCCAGCTCAAGGCTTTGCTCTGCGTGATCTCCATCTTGATCATCCGAAGAATGGGCCATCTCTGGCACAAAATCTGTCTCAATCACACCCGGCACTGGTGGCACGTTCTCTGGCACGCGTGGCACGTGTGGCACGTTCACTGGCTCGATGCTTTGAGGCGCCCCTTGGATCCCTTGAATTCCTGGGGCCGCTGAGCCGGAGGTGACTTCTGGATGCTCCGGGCTGTCCGTCTTCGAACGCCCCCCCCCTTGGCGCTCCAAGTTCACCTGCGGCCGTTTGGCGCAAGTCTGCCATTAGTGGCGGGCCCTGGAGAGATCCAGGATCATTCTGATAGCTCCTGTGATCTGTGAAGGTCTGAGCGAATTGCGGCACAGAAGCCTCTGCATGATCCCTCTGCATGCTCATGTGATAGTCCATGGAGTCCATATACCTCCCATGCCTTTCATGTGGACGTTGTTTGCGCCATTCCCGTGGCTTCTCTCTGAATGGCATCCGGACATGTTCCCGTTCCTCATCTGACACGCTCAACTGCGGAGTGAACCAAGTGGCCTTAGTGATGGAACGTTTGCTGCCATCATCCTGGGTGACAGACTTCAGCACGACACTTTTTCCAGTCAGAACTGGGGAGACACTTCCATTGGCCTTTCTGACCGACAAGATTCTTCCCTGAAGCTTGTACTCCACCTTATCACCTGGCACTTCTGGCTGGTGTGGGAGCCCTCCGTGTGGACCACCTTGTGGCCCACCTTGTGGCCCATCTGGCCCATCAGCCATGGCGCCCCACACTTAGAGCCTTGAAGCCAAAAAAGGATGCAATGGAAGGGACCTGCAGCCCAACTCGAGGTCCAACTCTATGGGCAAATCTTCAGGTTCAACGGCTCAACCACGAGATCTTGCAAGAATCAACTGTTTGCGTCCTCGTTCACTTGCTTGGCTGCGGGGCCGAAAGCACTAAGTGAACTTTCAAGAAAAAAGAAACCTGCTGGTTCACCCCTTTGGTATCTATTGATCGCAGGAAATGGAGGCCATCGCTACTAGGTTGAAGGCCATCGTAGCTCTTGGGTTGGCCATTTCTCCGGTCGCGGGCTCCCCAGGTTGGTCGCATCCGCCTGTGATACAGTTCCGACGTTGTTCCGACCCAGTTCTCGGGTCGTCCGTGGAAAAGCCGGAAGGCAGAAACAGCCGTGACATTTGGTCTCGTTCCGGCCAAAAATGAGGCTCTGGGCGCCACTCAAGCGTTATGTACAAAGGGCACAGAGCATGACCGCAATGTTAAAGGAAATATGAAAGTTGCTCAATAAAAAATGTCCTGAGAATGCTAGCTGGAGGCTCGCCTACCCCTCAGCAAGGCGAGAGAGAGTTCCTGCATCCGTGGCATCACAGCATAACTGAAGAGCACAGAAAATCGGTTCAACCTGATCAAAGCCATGAATTGAACACAAACATGTCATGGCCGTGAAACCTGATCTTCTTTCCTTGAAACCCTTAAACTTCATAACAGACCTCCACGATGCTCGGCCGACTGGGCCGTCTACCAGGTTCGAACGTGCCTGCTATTGCATCAACAGCTCGTGCCAGAACTGCGCGCGACATGCGTTCATTCGGCAGGTGGACAGCATCCGATGCCTCAAAAACTAGTCAAAAGGAGTCTCAGAAAGGAAGCGAGCTGCTTCTGGGTCTACATGGATCGTTTTCATCCAAAATGGTGCGATTGTGTGTGCAGACCTGGCTGAAGGCCATCTGAACCACGTCGCCTTGGAGGCTCAGTTCTCAGACAGCTTGTGCCCACGAGGCTGTGATCCAAACAATATCGCACTTTGCTTCACTTGCAATGACATGCAACTGTTTCTAATAGCTTCTTGTTACTAGTAGTAAGGCACTTGTTACTAGTAGCGATGCACTTGTTACTAGTAGCTTCTTGTTTATTGCAATGACATGCAACTGATTGCCCAGAAAGTTCAAGTCACATCCCAGCTCCGCTTCAAGCAAAGGAAGAATAGCTATCGTTCCTCAGAACAGACTGTCCGAGTTCTGCACTTCCAAAGTTGAATTCACAAGAAGTTTGAAGCCGATCAGTCCTAAAAGCATCACCGGCGCTCGAACTGAGCTTCGGAAAGCGTTCTTCGCGCCACGAGGTCCCGGCCTCCTTCTCGGACAGCCAGAACAGAAGACTCCTCAATCTTCCATGCATCTGCAACAGCAGCTCGGGCTGCACAAAACACCTGGCAGAGGATCCCACTCAAGGGCACCGGTATGCGATTCAACGACCCTTGCCTTTGATGTTGGCTTGGTGAGCCATGCCTCCTGAAGGACAACCCCGAGAATTTCCACATGGAAAATTCTGAGATCAAAACGGTTCGAAACAATTGCGATATATCCAAGTCTCGGATACAGCAAGAATATTCATCTCCAACTGGTTACATGATCGACGCTTTGCAAACCTCACCAAAAAAGAAAACAAAAGACCAACACGGGCACACAAACCAACAGATTGGGAACATCCTTCGAGCTAAATTACACCTTTCTCGGTCAACTGAGCTATGAGGCTCGTGATGCAAGTGCCGCTTCAAGCAGTTCACCACGTCTTCTCCCCGTTGGCCTTCCAAACGACACACTCAAGAACCAGACTCCAAGGTCCTGCCGAGGTCCCATGAGTTTCACTCTTTCTCTGCCCTCCCCCCACATCCAAGTCTTGCGACCGCCTGGCGTGCGGACTGAGAGGACGCATGACGCTCGGTTGGCAATGTGCCGCCCATGTTGGTGTCGTGGGCCTCCCATGCCGTCTGAGCAACACCGTGTCGGAGAGGCACCACGCCCCCAAAAAAAAGAATGAACCCATGAGCCCGAATGCATAAGCCCCCACAGAAAAATCTCCAACAGCTGAGCGTGAATCCGTTTATTAGGCAATGGCAACATCGCAGGTTCACCAACAAGCGCCCTTTCTTTGCCAAGCAATGCTGCCCTGAGACACGTGAGCCTTTTCAATGTGCCATGCGCGGACATCACCACCCGGCAATGTGTCGGCATATGGCATACCACATGTGCCCACACATGTGTATGCATCACAACGCCGCCGCAACAAGCAAGAACCAGGAAACATGCTCCAGAACCCGCTCTGGGGCCTGCCAACATGTCAGTGTGACAGCATGACCCGACTTCAGCAACTCAGGGTGACAACATGTCAGCATGTCAACATGACCCATGTCAGAGTGCCAGCATGACAACATGATACAACATGTCAGCATGATGGCGTGACAAAATGTCGGCGTGAGACCATGCCAGCATACCAGCGAAAACATGTCAGCATGTCGAAAAACAGACAATTTACAGATACGTATGTGAAAACACATCACACACACACACACATCACACATATACACAATACACACACATATATGTATAAATATATATATATATATAACAAACCATCATGACATCATGTCAGCACATCGGCATGACAACCCTTCAGCGCCTCAGCGTGACAACATGTCAGTATGTCACCAAAACCGCACAATTTGTTTTGGAAGAGGGTTTGTGCGTTGCAAGCCGGCACGGTGATGCAGATCGGATTGATGATAGCTGGACTTGTTGCAGGTCTTTCGATGGCGCCAAAGTACAGATTGATTTTATTCTGATCGATGGACGTGGAGAACTTGTAACCACTTGGTGTGATTTCATTCTGCCCATTGGGTTGGACCATCGCTGCGTGCATTGCAACATCCGTTTTACGATCCCTACACTTGGGAAGAAAGACAAACAGCGTTCACTGAAAGGTTGGAAACCTTTTCTTGATGAGACAGGTGTCCCGAAAAAAATCCATGACGCTATTTCTGAACAGTATAATGCACACGACGAGGTTTCGTTTGCGAATTTGGAGGGTGTATTGGCACAAGCTGCACAGACAGGTGGCGCTCCTCATGGTTTTAAGGTGAAATTTGTCCCTTCAGATTGCCGTAAAGGACTGCGAAGGTCACGCAGGACTGCTGTTGATCTTGAACTGCGCAAACAATTAAGTTTTTAAATTCGGAAACGCCAACGGCAGGAAACGCTAAATGGAAATCGATGCAACTACGCCAGAAATTGGCGCACTCGGGTTCATGGAAAGTTTTGCGGAACATGCACATTTCCATCTCTGGGAGGCGGCTCGTTCAGCATCCTCCCCTCGATGAATTCGCAACGTCGCTGCTTGGCAACCCTGCTCCCCTTTCACAACCCGCAGTGTTGACCGAACCATGTTTTACCCTGGAGGAACTACGTGCTGCAATTTTGGGGTTGAAACCCAACAAAGGAAACGATGATGCTGGTTTGGTCCCTGAGTTGTTGCAATACGTATGTTCCGGATGGTTTTCTCTCTGACTTGTTGTTGCTTTTCAATGACGTCCTCTACAGCGGCGATGCGCCTCCGTCGTGGTTGATTACACATTTCATCATGTTGCCGAAGTCGGGGCGTGCAAAAACCACAGGTGATTTCAGACCAATTGCCATGGTTCGTTTGTTTTACAGGAATTTTGCTTACATGTTACTTGCGCGGATTGAACCTGCGATTGAAGCTTGTCAACCGGAAGAGCAACATGGGTTTCGTCCAAACCATCGTTTGGAAGAACATCTGGTCACTGCAAACTTGGTTGTTGATAAATTCTTTGCAATCGACACGCCCGTGTGGGTCATCAGTCTGGATTTGTCAAAAGCATTCGACCGAGTTGATTGGAACAAATTATGGATTGCACTTTTGGACCTCTGCGTTTCTGAACACATTGTGTGGATCATACAGTGCTTGTATTTCAGCCAGCGTGGTCATGTCAGAGGCGAAACTGACCTCAGTGAGGAATTTTCAATTAATGGGGGCGTGCGACAAGGGTGTGTTCTCAGTCCTAGGCTTTTCACTGGAGTATTGCAATGGGCCATGGGCAAGTGGCGTTCCAAAGTGGAAAGTGAAGGCTTAGGCATTGACATGCATGACGGTTTGCCACGATTGCTGGATTTGAGGTTCGCTGATGGTATGTTTATATTCGGTTCCACTTCGCTTCAGTGCTTGGAATTGTTGGATGCCCTCGAAAATGTGTTGGACGAAGTTGGGTTGTTTCTGAATGTGGACAAGACGGTGCTCTTGACCAATGAAGCCCGGCCACCCCATTTCCTGAAGACACCACGGCAACAGCGTTTGCAGGTGAAATCAGGTTTGTCCGGACACAAATGGTTGGGGTGCATTTTCTGTATGGGGAACAGTGGGCGCACGAATTTAGACGTAACTCACCATTTGCAAGCTGCTTCAAAGACATTTTTCTCTCACAAACAAATTCTTTGTGATCACACAGCGCGTTTGAAAGATCGATTGCAATATTTTGATGCCACCGTTTCTCCAGTTGCTTTGTTTGGATCCACCGGGTGCTTGCTTGGAACCCTTTGGGTCGTCGTCGTTCTGGTTGCCCCCACGCAAGTTGGCCAAGTAAATTTGTCTCGTACACTCGTTACCGACACTTGGGCAATTGGCAGGTTTTGGCTCGTGATCCTGATTTGTGGCATGGATTGCTGGATGATTTTTGCATGTTTTGTGGTTATGGATGAAAAGCCATCGTAATATAGATAATCCTATCTGGTTGGTTTTCACTTGTCCCACCTGCGCCCAAAGGGGCTGCCGACAGGCTTGCAGGTTCAAAGTCAAAGTCAAAGTCACCAAAACCGCACGTCAGCATGACATCGCTATTGCAAGTTAGATTGAGAGAGTGACAACAGGCCATCGCTAGGAGGTTGGAGGCCATCGCTCTCAGGTTGGAGAGGCCATCGGAGTAGGTTGGAGGCCATCGCTAGCAGGTTGGAGGCCACCGCTAGGAGGTTGGAAGCCATCGCTACGAGGTTGGAGGCCATCGCTAGTAGGTTAGAGGCCATCGCTACTAGGTTGGAGGCCATCTGTAGTAGGTTGGAGGCCATCGCTGGGAGGTTGGAGGCCATCCCTAGGAGGTTGGAGGCCATCGCTAAGAGGTT